GGGAGTCCAAGACCAGGACCACAACCAGCAGTCTACAGGGGAGTCCAAGACCAGGACCACAACCAGCAGTCTACAGGGGAGTCCAAGACCAGGACCACAACCAGCAGTCTACAGGGGAGTCCATGGACCTAACAGTCACACCAGGACAGGTTCACCTCCCACCACAGGAACCACAGACACCTGATGACTGTGGGACATGTGAGTAAAACCAGAACCAGAACTGAACCAGTACCCATGGGTTAAAGTGAAAAAAACCATCTTTTAACTGATAAATTTTTTGATGACACACAATGAATTTAGAGAATGAAGTTTAAATTGTTTATTGTTGATTTGGTTTGATTTGTTAGAGAACATTGAACCAAAGCAACGATGAGCGTCAGCTGCATGTTTCAACATTACAAACTTTACCCAGTAAACAGGTCAGATCCTGGATTTAGGAGGCCTTTCTTTGCCTGATTTAATGACAGGTCATTCATCCTGCAGCCTTCACAACACAAACTAACTCTGTGACAAACACTGGTGACAGAAAGAAAATTACTTTTCTCTGTTTTTATTTATAAAAATCGATTTTGGGACATTTTAAATCAATTTGACTCTTTATAAATGAGAATCATGATTTTGATGTAAAATGATTTTCTGGTGCACACACTTGTTGCTCTTTGTAGGTTTATGTTTCTTTATGACATATTTAATGTCAAATTCAATTCAAAAACTTTAATTTTACAAAAGGATAACTTCATTAATGTGAGATTCTTTGATTTAAATAAAAGTTTTTTCTTGGTAAATACCTTTTTAAATACTTTGCAAAAATAATTTAATGTTCTGCTGAACCACAGCTTATTTGCTATATTAGTGAAAGTGAAATAAATTATTTTTTATTTCTGTAGCTGTTTGTTAAATTATTTTTCAGTCACTTTGTAGGTGAAGAAAAAAAAATCATGATTTTAATGGAGATGGGATGTTATGAAACAATGAATCCTGATCATTGTGTTTGATGTATGGCCCAGACCTGTGTGTGAGTGTGAGTGTGTGAGGGTGAGTGTGAGTGTGTGAGTGTGAGGCTTAGTGTGAGGGTGAGAGTGTGAGGCTTAGTGTGAGGGTGAGAGTGTGAGGCTTAGTGTGAGGGTGTGAGTGTGAGGCTTAGTGTGAGGGTGAGAGTGTGAGGCTTAGTGTGAGAGTGAGAGTGTGAGGCTTAGTGTGAGGGTGAGAGTGTGAGGCTTAGTGTGAGGGTGAGAGTGTGAGGCTTAGTGTGAGAGTGTGAGGCTTAGTGTGAGAGTGTGAGTGTGAGAGGGTGTGAGTGTGAGAGTGTGAGGCTTAGTGTGAGAGTGTGAGTGTGAGAGGGTGTGAGTGTGAGAGTGTGAGGCTTAGTGTGAG